CACACACACACACACACACACCGCGGTCACGTGTACACTTCCCCCCTCACAGCGCGGTCACGTGCTCACCACACACACACACACACACACTGCGGTCACGTGTACACTTCCCCCCTCACACCGCGGTCACGTCCTCACCACACACACACACACACACCGCGGTCACGTGTACACTTCCCCCCCTCACAGCGCGGTCACGTGCTCACCACACACACACACACACACACACACACACTGCGGTCACGTGTACACTTCCCCCCTCACACCGCGGTCACGTCCTCACCACACACACACACACACACACACACCGCGGTCACGTGCCCACCTCCCCTCACTGCAGTTCCCGCCTCCCGGACCCAAGACTTTCCTTCCATGGGGACCGCTGTGCGGACCTGGCCTGTGCGGGCCCGGGTGCGCCTGCCCCGAAGAGGGAGGGCAAGACGCGTGAGGAAGGGCCTGGCGGGAGTGTCCGCGTGCGCGGCCTCTCTCCATGTCCGCACCTGCCGGCCCCGCGGCCTCCTGCGGGCCCCCGGACCCCGGGAGCGGATCCCAGCTGATCCCGGCTCCCGTGTCGCCCCGTCCCGGGGGAGCCGCGCGTCTGGCCTGCGCGCGCTGGGCGTCCATCTGGCGCGCGCTGGCGCTGGCGCCGCCCAAGGTGCTTCCCAGCCTCCAGTTTTGCATCCAGTGCCTGTTTTTCTCCTTTCACACTTAAGAATCCACTATTTCACACTAGGCATTGTAGACGCTTTCCTTTCCTCATCACCATTTCCTGTGATGGAGTAGGACAGCTGTTTACACAGGATTTAGTAAAATAGTCCAATTTAAAGAGATTTAGAGATGATGTATATGCAAATACCAAACGATTTTTTATGAGGGACTTTGACCTTATATGGATTTTGGCATCAACTGGGGTCCTGGAACCCATACCCTAAAGATAGCCAGGGATGACTCGATTTGTAAATAATTCATGCATAAAATAGTGAGCTACAAGAAGATAATATATATTCTCCACTGTTCCCTTTGTATAGAAAGTGGACACAATTGGTAACCTTTCAGATCGTTTCAGTATATGTTTATAATCATTTAACAATTCAGAAAACAGACTCCATTGGCTGAATTTGCACAGTCTTTTAGTAAGAGTCTGTTTCCTTCTAATGCAGAAATTTGCTCCACATCCATAGAAATAGGTTCACTCTGTACGTTATGATGCTGATGCTGTGTCTGTGGTGCCTTCATGGTGCTGCTCCTGAGCTTTCACTCAAGACTGGTGCTCTACATCTTGAGGCATACTTCCACTTCCAACTTTCTGGTGGCTAATTGGAGATGTGACCTTAAACTGGGATTCTAAGATCTCAGCCCCCTGAGTAGGTAGGATTACAAGTGTGAGCTATTGCATGACTGGTGCTTTCTCTTAAAGATGCTGCCCTTCTCCTCATCCTAGGTGGCTCTTCACGTTCTGGTTCTGTGGTAAAAATGAGGGAAAGAAGAGGACATTCTGATTAGAGCTCCACCCAATATATGCACCCATCATATCCAGGCAGACTTCGCTGGCTCCTAGTAGCATCTGAGCTGCAAGGGAGTCTGCAAAGAATAGCCTTTCCTGGGACAGTCAGGATTTCTATGATCTAGATAAAGGGGGGGGATGGTGGGGAAGGGAAGCCAGGAGTGGTGTCACACATCTGTAATCCCAGCTAGTAGCTACACAGGAGGTAAAGGTAGGAGAATCTAGGTCTGAGGGAAGCCCTAAGCAAAAATGACACTCTATCTGAAAAATAAAAAGGCTAGAGAGGATGGCTCAGGTGGTAGAAGGCTTGCCTAGCAAGTGTAGTACTGCCAAAGAAGAGGTGTCAGGTTTGTTAAGGGGATACATCAGGAGTCGTCTGTCTCTGAGAGAACTACCTCATCACTGAAATTCATTCCATTGTGCCTTCTATCCAAACAGTGCAGCCCCTTCTTACCTACACCCCTGCCTGCTTGGCCCAGTCTAAAGCAGAAGCAGGTATGGAAAAAGTCGATAGGCCTGTGGCACTTTATCACTTGTACAACATGATTTTCTTCTTGGCAGGCAGGAAAATAGCCCAGTGGCTGGAATATGCCCATTTTTGAGCCAGGATTGTCTCTGTGACCCAGAACTCTTTTTAAAGAAAATTTCCTTGTTCTTCCCCTCCCTTTTTGTTACTAACCTAGACTGTAGTACACATCTGTATAGTCAGACTCACCCCTTCCTTCATCAGGTCTGCTTAAGAATATTTTCTCCAAAGTGAAGTATGTAGACCAAGTTAATGTTTTAAAGCTTTGGCTACATAAACCATTATTTATCTGTATCACCCTTGCTAGTGAAAACTACGTACATGGATTTGATTTTTTTTAATAATCACTTTATGGATCTGTCCTTCACAATGCTATTGATAGTCATAAGTTTTCATTTCCTAACATCACAGGTGTGGGGTTTTTTTTCCAAATATAGTTTTCCTTATTAATAAGCACACTTTTTTCTTTGGCTGCTTCTAACCATTTCCTGTCTAGCCATCTGCTTCCTTCAGCTGCCACTCACTCCCCCGGCTGGTTCCAGCTTCGGCTCGCCCTGCCGTCACCCCTCCATATGATAGGTGCTTGGTTCATGACATGATATTTCATGTCCTGGAAGCATGAAATTGCACAGACTGAGGAAGAGCAGCCTGAGATCCTTCTCCTATTTCCTTCCCCACCTCCAATGGTACCTGACATTGCTGCTCTTTAAGTGACTTCACAGACTTAAAACTCTTTATTTTTAGTATTATTATCTCTAAGTGGTAGTACGAAGGGGTTTCAACTCAACATATTGTTTCTGGGTACAATGCATCTTGATCAGCATCACCCCTTTCATCACTTGCTATTAACACCATTGCTCTCTGTCTTGGACTACCAGACAAGGCTTTCCCAAATCTCTCACTGGAGATGTGTTAAGCTAAGCAGAGGGATCACAACTTCAAAGCCACCTTGGGATGCCTTTTTTCCCAAAAAAAACAATTTAGCTGTTGCTTTCCTATGTTCTAGTTTTATAAAGACATTAGGGTAGAAGGATCCTATATTTAATTTATAGATGTGGAATAAGTAAGTTTTGATAAAACTTACATATCACACAGTTTCTCGTGGCTCTTCATCTATACAAGAAATGAGCACGTAAAGAGTTCTCCTACTTTAGTCTAATCCTAGCCATACTTTGCTCAATGGTCTTGTTGATATTGGTTAATAATAGTTTCAAGTATATTAACATCACCCTTAAACAATACTTCAAATCATTTTATGGGAGAAACCTTCTTTTTAATGGACAGTTGATAATTCCCCAATAAAAGTTTGGATAAAGTCCCAAGATAAAGGTCAGCTACATTGTCTGACTTTGAAATAGTTCTGCAGTGTGCAGGCTCCGGGTTGCCATCCATGTTCTGAGGAGCAAAAGTCCCCTTTGAGCCCATCATTTGCTGTCGTCAAAGGAGATCTATCGTCCACATCAGTTCTCCTTTTATTTCCTCCAGGTTCTCTCTGGAATTGTTTTTTCAAAAAAAATGATTCTAATAAAAAGTATTTCAGAGTTACATAGATCTGTCAGAGCAGAAGGAAATTATCGACCGATTTAATCATGTATCCTGCTTTATAGTGAAGAAATTAAAGAAAGGAGAGTAAAATGAAAGCCAGCAAGAAAGAAGGTAGCTGAGTTTCCCTCCTGCCCACTCATGCTGTTGCAGTGTATGACGATCAGGAAATGTCGCTTCTGCGTACCTGCTGCCATCTGCCCAACTCCTCCAGGAGGAGATAGTCTCGGCCAGGTTGAGCTGAAATTTCGCCTTCTGATTTTTTGGATATTATTAGATCTTTGTATGAAAATGATAGCTTAACATGCTTAAGGAGATGACAAAGTAGAAAGTGAAACAAACAATGAATTAATATAGTCGCTACCGAAGGCACCTTTCCTTTCGGAGCCGCTATGACTCCTGCCTGATCACTGCAGTCACTGCTCCTTCCCTAGCGCGGCCTCCCACCACTGCAAAGCCATTGCCAAGGAATGAGCAGTAGAGCAGCGCTGACTCCATGCTTTTCAGAATGTTTAAATAAGATGTGCTTGTTCATGGGTAAGCCTCTTACTGATGCAGAATCATTGCTGAATGATTAAGAAACAGCTCCAGTTAAACGAACAAGAACTTCTGGCTAGGGGCAAGGCACAAGTGGTTGAGCACCTGCCTAAAGTCAGGCTCAGAGACAAAGGACACATTTTCTCTCATATGTGGAAGTTACATCTAAATTATATATATATATATATATATATATATATATATATATCATACACAGAGTCCTGTAAATAAATTTGCAAACATATTCAGGGAAGGATTCCAATGGTGTAACTCCTTTGAACAACTATGAGTTTAACATAATGAATACCAGGAAGCTGGAATCTGTGTTGTATGGGCAGGGGAGCAGGGGGCAGGCAAATGGAGGAGGGAGGTGTGAGAATGCAGTGATAATATTCAACATACATATGTGAAAATGGAACCTGGTGAACTGGGGAGAAGGGGGGTTGGGAGAGATGAGAGAGTGAGGAAGGGATGGCATGTATCCCCATGCATTGCACTCACAAACTGACATACTGGAGGGAAACCTTTTGGTACAACTACTGAAAGATAACAAGCACAAAATAAATTTTTAAAAACAAAAATGAAACAATCGCAAGAAAGAAGAAACATTTTATGTCCCTCCCCCATGGTATAACCCCTGTTTTCACTGTATTTGAGGTTGGTATGATTTGTGGAGGGAAAGGAAAAAACAAATTGTTTAAATAGGGATACAGGTGGACACTTTGCAACAATGAGATGTACAAGACGTTATGTCGAAAAACGAACTTTACAACTTTGGCCTGGGGCAAGCAGGGGGAGAGGAGATGGGAAGGGATGGGAAGGGGAAACAAAGGAGGAGGCATCAATGCTTGATAAGAAATGTACTCGTTACCTTGCCCATGTAATTATAACCCCTCTGTACGGTATTTGTACCCAAAAAAAAAATCAAGCTCCATGCCCTGACCATTCTTGTTAAAAGTGTTATATACAGTCCAGCTGGGTGCTGGTGCTCACACTTACAAACCTAGCTACTCAGGAGGCTGATATCTGAAGACTAAGTTTGAAGCCAGCCTGCAACTAAGCAGCAAAAAGCTGAAGTAAAGCTATAGCTCAAGTGATAGAATGCTAGCCTTGAGAAAAAAAAGCTGAGGGATAGTGTATAGGACCTGAGTTCAAGCCTCAGGACCAACACACACACACACAGAATGCTGCGATCCAGTGACAAACTGAAAATGATTCTTAACAGAAGTCCAGCAGCCATCCATAGGTTATCATTCATCTCTAACCTTTAGAGCCCCAACTAAAACTAAGCTTATCATAATGGAGAAGAAGGAAGACATGAGATTTTAATTTTCTTTCTGGAAAATCAATATTGAAATTGTGACAGCAAATAACTTCATTAGACTCTCTAGCAACAGTTCTAGGTTTTGTTTGGTTTTTGTTGTTTTTATGCCAGTCCTAAGCTTGATCTCTGCACCAGGGCACTGTCCCTCAGCTCTTTTGCTCAAGACCAGTACTTTATGACTTGGGCCACATCTCTACTTCTGGCTTTTTAGTGGTTAATTGGAGATGAGATTCTCATTGACTTTCCTGCCTGAGCTGACGTTACCAGGATCTTCAGATCTCAGCCTCCTGAATAGCTAAGATTACAAGTGAGCCACCAGTACCCAGCTTCTTTTTTTCTTGTATTAAATAAATATAGAAGCTATTTGCAACAAAGATTAGAATCATTATTTCAATTTTAATGATTTTTAGAGTCAGAATAAGAAGGTTTAAAATGTAGAAAAGAAAATGAAACACGAGCATTTTATTAATGCATGTTATAATAATTAGAGGTTTTATGATACACTTTACTTGGGATACTGCACAAATCCCATGATGCTTCGCATCTTTGTTCATTTACCTTTTATTGTTAGCATTTGTCCAAGCTGGTATAAAGACTTCATAACTACTGTTTTTAATAGTTGATTCATATTCCTTTGTGAATATGAGCTATAAAAATTCTGTACAATTAATTTTAACTACACATTGTCCTGTTATTCATAATATTTAATTCAAGGCAAACTATCAAGATTGTATAAGAGCTACAGTTGCGTGTAGCTCATATCAGCACATCTCATAAACCATATGATTTTCCCTTTCATTCATTTTGTTATTTGTTTGTTAGAGGCAGTGATGGTACCCAAAAGCAAATAAAGGTATATTTTTACCAGTTATATAGGGAGGCATCATAGTTGTTTATATGTTATCATGATTATGCATAAGAAGTGAAAGCATTGGATATTCATACTGATATACAACAGCTGATGTAAGAGCTATGAAACATATAGTCATCTTCCACTGTGCCCAGTCAAAATGTACCCAGCTCTGTTCCTCCCTCCTTAGAGCAGTTGTGTTAGACTTGTTCTCAAAAAGCCTGTCCCCTTTGTTACCAGCTACAGCCCCTTCTGCATATGTCCCAGCTTCCTCCAACTTCCATCTCATGATGACAGAAATGGTTTTCCCATTTTCTGGGTCCCCTACACCAAGTGTTATGACCCTGGCTTTTGTTCTTTGTTGGTGATGATGATAAAAGGTAGCATCAAGAATCATGCAGATGTTGCAGATGTTACAGATGTTGACTGTCTCATTTCTCTTCCACCAGTGGGATGGAGTAGGACCTCTTCCCGACTGCGCGGAACCTCCCAAGGGGATCCAGATGCTGTGGCACCCATCCATAGTCAAACCCTACCTCACACTGCTCTCTGAGTGCTCAAATCCAGACACGCTGGAAGGGGCGGCAGGCGCCCTGCAGAACCTGGCTGCGGGGAGCTGGAAGGTATGGCTAGTTCATTATCATAAGAAAGCAATCTGGAATTATGAGCAAGTATTTAGGAAAACAATACAAGTGTAGTTTTGAGAAATACAATTTAAGAAAGTTTCTTTTAGGATGTTAGAGATGAAAAAATATATTGAGCTATTGGACTTGGAAAAATGTTCGTTTAAAACTAATTTCTTCTTAATGGCTCAAAGATTCTAGAAGACCACTGCAACACGAGAGGCGAGCGCAGTCCTAGAAAGTGCGGTAAGAGGCTCCCCTCCTTGCATACAGCTGAGCTTTCCAGGAATGAGTGACATGGTGTTTTCACAGCACTGTCTCGAATCACAATGGGATCTAATCCCTAGACACCTTGTCTAAAAACGTACATAAATGCATAAAATGTTGCATCAGTTCCTAAAGAAAAGATACCTGTGAATTTTAAAATTGTAGTATAGACTGACAGGGAAGTTCTATTGCTATGTAGGAGGGGGAGTAATACTGAAGTGTAGATGTGGCCATTAGGAGATTAGCAGGCCCTTCCCCTCCAAGTCCTTATAAACTGACACTGTTCCTGCTGATTCTCAACAAAAACCATCATGACCTTCATAGGAGGTAGACAGGGGTTTGCCTTAGGAAGGAATTACTTTGGTTGCTAATAGTAACACGTGCTCATGTAACTTGTTCCATAAATATGTGCAGAATGAAGATACGTGGGGAGAATGACAGAGAAAAATCAAGTGTTTTTTTTTTCCTTTTTTTCTGTTATCATCATTCATTGAAAACCAAGCCTGGTATTTGGGATAGTCATCAATCAATCTTTTCTTTGAGTTTCTTTCTCTTCAAAATGATCTGAACACTGACACATGGCTACAGATAATTTCCAGGTCAGAACCATCGAGGTGTACATACCCGCCTAAGCACCTGTTCCCTCATCTTTGCTTATAACTCATGGTGTCTGCCTTCCTGTCACTCCCCCACCCTCCCTTCTCCCCCCCATTGCCACAGTCTGACCTTCGGCATTCCCTTCTTCCTCAGCTGGGACGTCCAGGTGAGGTGACGCAGGCTCACATGTTTTCTCTTCAGAGTCTTAGGAATGGACACAATTCTCCCTTTTGTTCCCTGACCAATGTTTCCACTTAAAGACTTGAGGTAAGGCTGGGCAGGAAGTAATAATGCCTCACTTTCAATCAGAAATGGATGGAGAAAAGTTTCTAAAGCAAGTTCCACCAAGCAGAAAGTTGGAGTCATTTTATATAATTAGAAAGGAACTGATAACTTATCTGAAAACCCTTTTTATAATACAATTTTTTTAAGTTTGGAAGGACATAAAAAAGTTTAAGAGCTGGGAAGGTGGCTCAGTGGTAGAGCACTTGCTTTGCATGCATGAGGCCCTGGGTTCAATTCCTTAGCACCACATAAGCAAAAAGAAAAAAGCCGGAAGTGGTGCTGTGGCTCAAGTGGTAGAGCGCTAGCCTTGAGCTGAAGAGCTGAGGGACAGTGCCCAGGCCCAGAGTTCAGGATCCACGACCGGACCCAAAAAAAATATTTTAAAAAGTTTAAGAATTTTAGCCCACTCTTGAAAGCTTTGACAGGCCCCAATCCTAGACCCCTGCCTTTCTGCACATGGGAACCTGAGCAAATTACAGCACTTCCTATGTCTGAGGTGCCTTATCCTTAAATAGAAGATCACAGCTGCCTCACACACCTGAACACAGATCCATCTCAATGCTGAATGCAAATGCAGAAGTAAGATATCCTAGTCCAAGGAGTGTCACTGGTGTGTCCGGAGGTATTCCTGTACTGCAAATCTCCAGCCAGCCCCCTCACCTCACTGCCCTACCTGAATGGATTTGAACAGAGCACAAAGATCTAGACACCATTAAGGACAAAATAAAGTATGACATCTTAATATAGGGTGTTCCTATTTTACCTGTTATCTTAGGTCCTTACTATGGCAATATGGTAAAACATAGTTGGATTATAGACAATTATGAATGTAGGATTTCAACTTTTACATATTCTCTCTGTACTAGAAAAAGGAGAAAGGAACAATATGTGGAAGGCTCAAGTGAAACTTCTGGAGTCATAAATATAGTGTCTCAAGCAAAAACTACAGGGGATGGGATTAAAAGCACATTAAATACTGTGAAAAAGTAATTCATAGAGCTATGCACAGTGAGTAATACCTATAACACCAGCTACTCAGAAAGCAGAGATCAGCAAGATCACTGTTTGAGGCCAAAAAGTTAGTGAGATCATCTCAACCAACAAGCTGGGTGTTTCTTTCACATCTATAATCCTAGCTACATGGGGAGCGTAGGTAGTAGGATCCCCAGTTTGAGGCAACCCTAGGCACAACCACAATATCCTTTCTGAAAAACAACTAAGACAAAAACAGGGAGTGTGGCTTACCTTGTAGAGTACCTGCCTAGCAAGCACAGGAGCCTGAATGCAAAAGCCAATACTGCCGTAAAGAAAAGAAAAATATCAGTGAACTTGAAGACAGCAAGAAGAGTGAAATACAGGGAGGAAAGAAGAAGAAATGTAGAGCTTGTCCGTGCAAGCATCACATGTGATATAATGTAGTGCGGATCCACAAGAGAGAACGGAAAGAAAATATGTAAAGTAATAACGGTGAGTGTTTCTCCACGTTTAATGAAAACCATCAGTTTATAAGATTGAAGCAGTTGGAGGGAGGAAGGCCAGACCAACACAACAGACAAGAAGAGACAGAACAAAGGATATCACTACATAGTGCTCAGAACCAATAATAAAGAGAAAATCACCAAGGCAAGCAGAGGAATAAGACTTGTTACAAAAGAGAATTGCACTCCATTTAAATGCCACATTCAAGATGATGTCACCAGTCATCCGTTCCTTCTTCCTGCTGAGCTACTGGCTGTCCTTGAGAAGCACATCTGATTGGTAAGCCCCAAGGGCCAAAGCTACTCCCTACCTCTCTTCACACCCTGCTGCCGGGTCTGTGCTTGGCTAAGCAAAAATGGTCATGTTTAATTCAAACAGTATCTGTTCACATGTCTTTCCTGCAGATGACAGTCTTCTTTGTGTATAAACGTCTTTCAGTTGTTCAGGATTTCCTAGCTCATATTGTGGGCCAGAGCATCCTCAGATAGACACATTCTATAACCCTTTATTTGGCTCTGTGATTCAGAGAGCAATAAGTAAAATCCATAGGAGTTACAGAGGACTGTTGTCTTCCCATGTCAGTTCAACAGTGTTCAACAGGCTGTAGATGTCAGTAATGGTGCCCATTCCTTCAGTTCCTAAATCCTGACGGTTGTACGCCTTAGGCTCTGCATCTTACATGGGCCTAGCCAGTTGGCAGAGATGCAGGAGTATGTCTGAGCATGTAAACTTAAGTCATTGGAATAAGAAATTGATAGATCTTTGCTATTTTTATATGTTTAAGTTCTCTCCTACTTTGGCTATGTGCTACTAGTTGTCGGATGTTTTCCAGCAATGCCATAGTGCTGTTTCAGCAAAAACATATAATATTAGTTTGGCCCAGTTATCCCCAGGGTGACATCTCTCTCCATATATCCAAGGACACTTATTTGTTACATTTTTCTATTGCTAGTGAAACAGACTATTGAGAATAAGTCAGAAAAGCTTGGAAGACCTGAGGGTCAGAGGTACAGAATAGAAGCTGTTCTGTGTTTTAGACAACAGCTAAACACTATGACCAGTGGACATCCATCCATATTGGACTATAGGCCACAAGTTAGAAAATTCAGGGAATAATTCTCATAAGCAGACACACAGACACATGACCAAGATGTGAGAATAGAGAAAGAGGAGGTAAAACATAAATAGAGAATAGAAAAAGAGTTAGAAAGAGTAAATATAAGGCTGCAAGAAAGTAAAGCTATCAGAGGTCATTCAATGTCTCGGCTCTTCTCTGTCTTCTAGTAAGTGACGGGCATAAAACTGGTCATCTGTGGCCAAGAGAATGCCAAGTTATTACTAGCAATTTTAGGAGATAGAAAGTATTTTAGCACCATTTCTATCGCAATGGCTAATTTTGATTCTTAGGGTATCAGTGGTATTTTCAAGTCTTAGTTCCCTAGCACTCCTAGAGAAAAGAGAAGACCTGCAGGCACACAAGGGGTTGCAAAGGAGTATTTCTGTATAGTGATAAATAGATGCATGTCTACAAAAGAGTATCCTTGTCAAAATTAACCATGTAATCACCATCAGTTAGTTAGATGGAAGAGATATAAAGATGACAAAGATATATAGAGGTAGAAATAGATACTTTTTTTTCATTTACTACATGACATAGAAAGGGAGGGAGATGATTCTGAGGTAAGAGTAGAGATTATCACCGAACCAAATGCTGATGAATTATCACAATTCCAGGAAGATTCAAAATGGCTTTTATAGAAACTGGGTAGAAAAATTCTTACTTTAAAAAGACAGTTTCACAGAAACAATTTGGGATAATTAAAATATTGACTGAGGATATAGAGTTGCATTGACTTTCATACACACAGTGCTACTGTCTGAAATCTAGGCATCTCACAATGTGTTTTAAAGCAACTCTGGAAATTCAGTATATTTCTTTAGTAGTCCTTAACTTTTTATGAGCCCACAAAAACAGAATTTTGCATGGAGATTGCTTTTTATGGACCTCATCTTCTGAAACAATAACTTCTGTTTATGGGGAGAGCATACACACTCTTTTCCTGTAACAAATTGACTAGAAAACCAGATCTTCATAATGGCCCTAAACACTTTTTAAACTTTAAAACATTCTTTACTTCGTTATGAGCATCAGAAAAACCTAATGGCATTGTGGCAAAAGTAAAGTGATGAATGTTTCTCTTGACCAACATGGATTCCAGTTACATTCTTCTTATGTGCAATGTGGGTGTTGCAGAATATTAAAATGATTGAATAGAATAGTTTGAAGATTTCCAAAATCTGGATGAATAATCCTTCAGCTCCCATTGTGGAATGTTTCTAGTGTACCTGAGCTTCATGAAAACCCACAATTT